TTACAAGATGGTGCCTAGGGGAAGGAAGTTGGCTGTCACTCTCTACTTCTCAGATGCCATGAGGTAAATAGCTTTGCTCCACCACAACACTCCTCGCTATGATGTACTATGTATGTATCACACCACAGGCCCAAGATGATGGGCCAACCAACCTGACTGAAACCTCTGAAACCTTGAACCAAAATAAATCTTGCCTCCTTATGAGATGATTATCTTGGGTATTTTGTCAGCATGAGGAAAAGATGACTAACAAGGATAGAAACCCGATCTTCTTCCTTCTTTCTGAACAGAGTGAAGATCTGTCGAGCATGCCTCTTTTCCACTTTTCCACACAGTCGGGAGTTCTCCTGGATAGCGAGGAGTAGGCTTATAGAGGCATAGCACTCCAACTGTTTAATCAGTGTGGTTCTTCATTCCCAACTAATTTCAAGGTTACGATTACTTAAAAAACAAATTAGAACTATTTTATTCTTTTTCTATTTCATAATTTGAGGCCATCTGCTCTTTGAAAGTTGAATAAAATTCTTTGAAAACATTTGGGGACAGAGCTTTTTGTTGGGTAGACTCTTGAGTAAAAATATACTTTAAATTACAGATGCTTTTAGTAACCAATTATTATGCTCTTCCCAGTGTATTTAGCCCAAATTAGTACATTTAGCCCAAATTCCAACTATCAGCATTTCAATTATTTCACTAAAAATTTCTCTCCCCAACCTGAGCCACCCTTTGACCATATTCGTGGTAGGTCAGAAGAGTTGGAAAATTAATAAGTCCTCAGAATACCACATTTCTAGAAGTAGAAATATTGGCTCCAACATATTTTTAATTTTAATAAATATTTATTTGGTGAAGATTAAGAAAGAAAAAAGCCACAAATGAATATTAGAAATGAAAAAAAGAAAAGTGAAAATATTAGAAGATTAAGAAAGAAAAAAGCCATAAATGAATATTAGAAGTGAAAAAACTGAGTATGTATACTTGTGCTAAAATAGTTAGTTGCCCTAATTACAAATTCACATTTGGGATGGGTCAGTGAACAATTTAATTAGGACTACACTCCATCAGAGAATACTATAAGCACTTCAACAATTATTATCACTGTTCCACATCAAATGTTTGGCTAACTGGCATATATGTATTTTTTTTCCATTGATGAAATTAGTGGCTTGTTTATAAGTGTATCTGGTGCTAGACAAGTGTTAACATTGGTGAAATTAATTTAATCAATATTCAGGAATTGGTTAAAATATTTTAAAGACTTTTCTCACCATTACAGCCACAGCATATAACAGTGGTGGGGAACCTATGGCACGCGTACCACAGCTGGCACACAGAGCCCTCTATGGTACACGAGCCAACTCACCACAGCCAAGGTTTGACAAATTATCAGCATGCAGACAACAGCAAAGATCACATTAATTGTCCAAAAGCACACCAAATGCAAACTTTCACCTTTCAATAAAAAGCTGTTTGTATCATTGAAAGCTCTGATAAAAGATGTTAGTGTGTGAGTTGATTTTCTAAACTAAAACCTCAGTATTCAGTTTTAATTGCAGTTTTGGCACTTTGCAATAAATAAGTGGGTTTTAGGTTGCAGGTGGGCACTCGGTCTCTAAAAGGTTCACCATCACTGGCATTAAGACATTTATAGCTAAATGGATGCACACTGAGGTGATAATCTTAAGTGAAATAAATAGGACGGACATGTGTAAATACTGAATGGTTTCTCTGGTGTGAGAAACTGAAAGTGTAAATAAGGATCAAAAGGTATAATAGGGGCCGGGGATTAAGCTCAGTGGTTCCGGCGCCTGCCTCGAAAGCGTAAGGTCCTGAGTTCGATCCCCAGTACCAAAAAAAAAAAAAAAGTATAATAGATAATGTGAAATAGGAAAAATAGGGGCAAAAGGGAAAGGGGAGTAGTAGGGGAAAGGAAAGAAGGGAATGGAATTAATATGAGAAAAGGAAAAAATGAAAACAAAGTCTTTGTAAATAGGGAGGCATGGAGGGATTGAAGGAAGGGCAGGGGAATGGGGAAAAAATAAGAACCAAGAGAGATTATGTAAAGGTGCAAATTTCCAATGATGAATGTCATTATATTGTATGCCTAAAATGTACCAATAAAATTAATTTTAAAAAAAATTTTTTTAAAGAGTCTAGTATGGTGTCACCGCCTGCCCCGCAAATGCAAGGACCCGAGTTCAATCCCCGGTTACAAAAAAAAATAAAGAGTCTAGTAAAGGCTATCAACCTTAGGTATACATTTCATTCCCTAGATCAGAGCTTTTCAAAATTTGTATGCATATAAATCACCTAAGGATGGTTGGGATTCTTCTGGAAGAGTGTGGCTTCTCTGAATTTACAATAATATGGACTCATGGATATTTATTATATTCTTTAAGCTATAATCCAAAATTATTGTTATTTTCTTGCTCAAGTTATTCTAGCTTAAACACTGGAAGCTCTTTGAAGTTGGCTCCTGTCTTCTCTTTTCTTTTTTAGCACTTTCTTACTTTCTGGCTCTAAAAGAACTTTCCAACTCACTCATTTCATGTTTTCAATGCTTCAGCCTTAGACTGGGAGTCTGGCTCCTCTTATTAGAGAACAGTAATTAAAAAACAAGATTTCAGCCCTGGACACACTGCTGCTAGAATATCATTCTTTTAAATTCCTCTCAGCAGCTAAAGCTAGGCAACATATGTACAAAATGAGCCCCGTATCTGTGGGCTCCACATCCCTGGGTTATACCAACCATGAATTAAAAATGTAAAAAAATAGTTGTCCCTGTACTGAATATGTATGAACATTTTTTCTTGTATTTGCTCCCTAAACAACACAGTATAACATCTATTTACATAGCATTGATATTGTATTAGGTATTATAATAAGTAATCTAGAGATGATTTAAAGTATGCAGGAATAAATAAGAACCAAGATACATCATGTAAAGGTACAAGATCCCAATGATGAATGTAACTGTACTGTATACCTAAAATGTACCAATAAAGTTAATGGAAAAATAATAATAAAGCATGCAGGAAGATTTTCTGAGTTTATCTATAAACATTATGCCACTTTATGTAAGGGACTTGAGCATTCTTGGACTTTGGTAGCCAAGGAGATAACCTGGAAACAATCCCCTGGATACATACTAACCCACCCTTGACTGCAGTTATGACATTCATTCATAGTGCAATTAGTTTCATTTGTCACAATTGGCATTCTGTCCTGGGATATCCTAATATCCTTCTTATAAAGGTTTAACAATTGAACAGTTATGTGACCACCACTGAAACACCATATAAAACCATCCCATCACCCTAAAATCCTCCTGTGTAGCCATTCTCCCCTTCATACCACATTTTCCTACTACTACTCAGGATTAAGAAAGATAAATTTGAGTCACTTGTAGGAAAACAGGTGCATCCTGAGATCATAATGCTGAATAAAATAAACCAGACACAGAAGATTATATCATGTTTTCTCTTTTATTAGAGACTCAAAACATAAATAATTGAAAGAGCAAAATAAAAAGATATTAGGAAACAAGGAGGTAGACTTTACGGAGATGGGAAGGGGATATGAGGTGGTGAGAGAATGGGAGGGGAAAAGGAAGTAAAAATGATTATGATATCAAATGTATATATACCAATTCCCCAAGATTATTCTAATTTTTATATACTGTTTTTATTTTTTTTTGGTACTGGGGATTGAACTTGGGTCCTTGTGCTTGCGAAGCAGGCGGCGAAACCACTGAGCTAAATCTCCCGCCCTATATATTGTTAATTACATATTTTTAAAATAGAATTTCACATACACACACACAAAATATGGTATGGATCCATTGCAGTGCTAATAAAAAGAGCTCCAGACAAGATTAAAAATAATAATCACATTATACTCTTATTTCAGTTATTTTAGGAATAAATATATATGTTCGTATTCATTCCTAAAAGCATACAGAAATTTTCTGGAGACACAAAAGAAATTGCTAACAGTGGTGATGTCCCTGGGAGAATTTTTAAGTGGTTTTAGTTGGAACAATCACTCACTATTCATTGTATACACTATGTAGCATTTGAAAATTTTAACATGAGAATATATTATTGGTAATAAATAATGATTTAAAAATTATTTTAGTTCATTAATATATTTATTGTCCTGTATTATCTAGAAATTCAGATACTGATTTAAGCATTCTCCAATAGTATCAAAATCTGAGAAACTCATAAGTAAATGTTTTAAATGAAATATATCCTAAAACTAAAACAGCTGGGCTTGGTGGCACATGCCTGTAATCCCAGTATTCTAGGAGACTAAGTCAGGAGGAAAACAGGTTTGAGCCCAGCCTGGCCAATGTAGTAACTAGTGAGATCTTGTCTCAAAATAAAAAAATAAAATCAGCTTTGGGGATCTCAGTGGGAAGGCCCTGTGTTTAATCTCCATCACTGCAACAAACAAACAAACAAATAAACAAAAAACCTAGATCTATATTTTATTATCATGAATCTATAATAAGCAGATAACAAAATAAAGCACTTTTGTAAGAAAAATGACTAAGTTTTTCCTTGTAAAGCCTACTTCAAAAAAATCTATGTGAACAATAACATGGATATGATTTATCCCTAATACAGTCTATTAAATTGCACTAGTATATTTGTTAAAGAGTAGATTTTTCTGAGGTGAGTTAATATATATCGAACATGAAGTTCAAATTTTCCCTCCAAAACCAGATGAGACAAGTATCAGAAGAAACTGTGACAAATCATTTATTACTTACACTTTTAGTACTTAATATTCTTACAAAACAGAATTCACTTCCCAAGTTACAACTTGGTTTTATATTATCTAGTTGTGGATGAGAAAGATGCTGCTTATCTTGAAAATGATTTTCTGTCTAGCACAAAGGCTTAATTTTCTATATAAACTGTCACTCATCTCTGTTACTGATAGTGAGGTAAAAAAACCATTTTCATACGTTTCTCAGTTCTATTTTCTTTTACCTGCTATCAGCTTCTCTGTATCAGGTAGATGTGTGAACTGTCTTTTGTATTCCTCATTCCTGTCTTTATAGTTGGAACTTGAAATCTGCAACATTAAAAAGATTAAATTTCTATTTAATTATAATGTCTTAGACAATAAACCTAAAATGGAATTGAAAACCATATGATTTGTATACAATATTTTGTATATTCTTACAAAAAAACCACATAAACATTTCAAAAAACACCAAAAAGAAAAAGGTGGGAAATCCTCTCTGCAAAACCAGATGTGTAGCTGGAAAAAAAAAACTGTTAAAAACAATCATCTCAAATAACTGAAAATTGGGGATGAATCCACACCCTCGTGGACCAGATGATCCATGCTCCCTGTGCACTGGCCCCTGACTAACTCCACACCCTGGCCATGGCCACCCACCAATTCTAAGCCAGCTCTGCATTTTATGTCCCCTCAGCATGGGACAGCAGAAGTGCTGACCAATGAACTGACCTGACAGTGGAAGAGGCCAATGCACAAGGACAGAAGGTAAGCCTAGAGGGTTGGCAGATCCAGGAAGAAATTATGGACCTGCCCAGCAGCACTAGCCTCAAGAAAAGACCATGGTCAATGTACACTGCAAAAATTGGGTGGAGTTTTATTCCAAAAGTGACACCATGGCAAGCTATAGCTGGAGAAGAAACCCAATGCAGCATTTGCCATACTGCCAAAGTGTTTAATCAGACATGTGGGGAAGGGATTTATTGTTTAAGTCTGAGCTATAAAACAACAATAATAAAATTCACTTTAGAGTTTCCAGTGTTATGCTACATCAGTGACTGAGTTACAGACAGCCATGGGAGACAGTCACAGAAAAGGTTTAGGCTAGACATAAACCCATTGAGAAGTTTAAGTTCAGGCCTGGAAGGACACAGACCCCTGAGAAACCAAGCCTGGCAAGTACTAGCCTGGCTAGATCTGAAAGTGCTGGCATTAAGTCTAGCAGATGTCTTGTAGCCCCGCCCCATAGCCTATATCCAGCAGAGAACAGTCGTTTGATTGCTTTCTCCATATAACAATGTGAGCAAGGACACATCTCAGCTCGGATGATTGTCACAGTTTGGGATATACAGCAAGAGTGGCCTCTGTGGCAAGGAGGACCCCTAAAATACCTACAAGGCCATAAAGCTAGACAAAGAAAACTGTGACTTGCTGAATTTCAAAACTTCAGATCATGAAAAGAAATCACATTCAAAAGTACAGAAGAGGGGCTGGGGATTTAGCTCAGTGGTTCTGCCACCTGCCTTGAAAGCACAAGGTCCTGAGTTTGATCTCCGGTACCAAAAGAAAAAAAGTACAGAAGAACTTTTGGAGAGTGAGGGGCTCAAATTTTTTTTCATTGATTTTTGGGGATTTGGGACTTTTTTCTCTTTTCTCCTTTTAACTTTTTTTCCTTTCTTTTAAAATTTATTTTACTGTTTTTTCTTTATTCTTTTTCTCCTTTTTGGCTATTTTTATCTAATACTATCCATTTCCTTTTACTCCTCAGTAGGATGCTTTATCTCATTTCTCTCTCCTCCCCATCTTCCACTGATTAATTTTTCAAATTTTACTTTTCTGATTCTCCAGTTCCCCACCCCTTCTTTTATTTATTTATTTATTTATTTATTTATTTATTTATTTATTTATTATTTTGGTACCAGGGATCGAACTCGGGTCCTTGTGCTTGCGCAGCAGGCGGTAAAACCACTGAGCTAAATCCCCGGCCCTTCTATCTTTACTAGTATAATCATTATGCTTTATAAATCTGTAGTTAATAAATTCTGCTATCACTATCAAATACTGTTTTATTGTTAGTGGATGTACAGTTGTTGCATTTAGCAGATATTTACTGTATGTCAATATTTGGTTTATCTTACTGTTTACACTATAATTACAGATCTTTTTTCTATGGGTAAGGGTACGTTATTGGCTCTTTGGCTATGATAATATCCAGTTTATCTTTGATGCTAGCTATTATTGCGGCAGATTTTATTGCTACTGACAAGGTGGTATCATTATTGCTATTGAGTGGTCTTTCTCTTTATGCCAATATCTGGATTGCCTTTGTGGCCCATTACTGGAGAACTGGGTGCTAAAGCAATTGCACTGCAGCCTCCTCTCCCAAATAGAGATGGTTGGATCTTGGAACAGGGGAAAGGCCTGTAGTTAGCCATGCCCAGAGTGCATCACTGAAAAGCAGACACTAACTACAGAGGTCTCCATACTAAAAAATCTTCCACTATACTCAATCTGCAAACATCAGCACAACAATAAAACAGAAACATGATAAAACAAGGCAAAAACGCCTCCAAAAACTCCCAACTCCCCCTGATCAACCCATGGGGATCAAAGCTGATCAATCCATGGGGCATCAAGGGGGAGAAAATCAAAATACATAGCTGAATTATTCAAAAGAGTAACAGATTATTTTAAAAAGTGATCAATAAGGTACTGTTATGGTTTGGGTCTAGATGTCCCCCCACAGCCTCATGCAGTCATAGGTGGGTTTTTTCAGAAGTAGCTGGATCTAGAGTGTGTGATGCTGGGATTAAGGGTGTATGATCACTAAATTAGTCCACTGACTGGTTTGGCATAGTTCTGGGAACACAAAGGAACAGAAAAGAACTCCTATTGTTGCTTCCTGTTTCTCCTGCTGCCTCCTCCTCCTCTTCCTCCTCCTCCTCCTCCTTCTTCTTCTTCCTCTTCTTCTTCTTTCTTCTTCTTCTTCTCCTTCCTCCTCTTCTTCTTCCTCCTCCTCCTCCTCCTCCTCTTCTTCTTCTTCTTCTTCTTCTTCCTCTTCTTCTTCTTCTTCTTCTTCTGCTGCTGCTGCTGCTGCTTACTGCCTTTTGCCTGCCTGCCATGATCTGTTTCTCCTCTGTGATACCCCTCTGCCATACTATCCTGCCTTGGAGCCAGCCAATTATGGACTGAAACCTCTAAAAACTGTGAGCCAAAATAAACCTTTCCTTCTTTAACTTTGGATGTCAGGTACTTTGTCTCAGCAACAAGAAAAGTAACTACAACAGGTGCTCAGCAACCTCAAAGAAGATATAACTTTAAACAGGTAATTAACCTAATGAAACAATCTGTGCATTCACAGAGGACAGTAATAAAAATCTAGCTAAAGAAAACAGTACAAAACACAAATCACCAGTTTAGCAAAGAATTAGAATTCATGAAAAGGTAGCAAACAGAAATTCAGGAGATTAAAATTTCTTCCAAAAGCACAGACAGCAGAAGCAATCAATGTGAAGACCGAGAGTCAGAACTACAATTCAGGGCTGATGAACATTATCCACCAACTTCATCTAACTGGCTCTACTATGGTTTAAATGAGTGCCTTCTATAGGTCCATACGTAAAGGCTTGGACCCAGAGTGGTGACATTAGGAGGTACTGGAAACTCCCTTCTGGCTCAACATGCAAGCACTTGCTCCTACACGTGTCCCTACCACTGCCATCTGCTGCCTTAACCAGAGGCCAACTCAATGGGGCTACCCAATCTTGCATTTGAACCTCCAATACTGAATAAAACTTTTCTCTTCATAAAGTTAGCTGTCTGAAGTATTTAGTTGTAATAATGCAAAGCTGACTAATATATACTCCATTCAACAACTGCAGAACACACACTATTTTTAAGAATGTGGAACATTCTTCAGAAGAGATAGTTCCCTAGGCCACAAAACAAGTTCCAATAAACTTGAAAGGAATGAACCACATAAAGTATATCCTCTGTGAATGACAGAATAAAACTAGAGACTATCAACATGAGGACTAGAGTCCAGCTTCAAATCATCTTTATCTTTACACATGGAATATGGAAATCTCAGATATCTTGACAGTTGTACAAAAAATCTCTCTGGAATAAGCCATCACTCAAAGATTCAATGCTTCTAGAAGAAATGATGGGAAATAGAAAATAAAGGTAAGAGACTAAATATACAGTGAAGAGGTCTAACATACAGGTAACTGAAGTCTAAGAACAGAAAGAATGAGGTTGATAAAATATATGAAGCAATAAAATATATTTTTAACATTTTAAGTTTCTATCATTAGAGACAATTTCCTCTTTTCTTGTAGTTCTCCAAAATCTGTTTGTTTGTTTGTTTGTTTCTTGAGATAGGGTCTCAATACATAGTTCAAGGTCTCCTTAAACTCACTATGTAGCCCAGGCTGGCTTCAAATTCACAGTAATCCTCCTGAGTGCTTGAATTATAGCCATGTGCCACTATCCCAGCTTTAAAATAATTTTCAAAAATAATCTTCTTGCTTTAAGTGTCTCCACGCCGCCACCTGCCTCACAAGCACAAGGTTCTGAGTTCGATCCCCAGTACCAAAAAAAAAAAAAAGAAAACTGTCTCTAACATTTGTTCCTATTTAGGCATGTAAATACAATAAAATTCAATATACCATTTAAAAATCCTAACAACTGGCCTCAAATAAAAAATGATATAGAGGGCTGGGGATTTAGCTCAGTGATGCCACTGCCTGCCTTGCAGTGCAAGGTCCTGAGTTCGACTCCCAGTACCAAAAAAAAATGATATGGAAAATCTCAGTGATTCACTATCTGTGGTACACTCTATAGCTTCAAATGTAGATATTTCGGGCCAGGGATTTAGCTTAGTGGTTCCGTCGCCTGCCTTGCAAGTGCAACATCCTGAGTTCAATCCCTGATACAAAAAAAAAGTAGATATTTCAAATGAGTGTTGGTAGTGGATTGCAATAAGAGAAAGTGAAAAATAGCAAATTAAACTGGTACATCAGTCAAAACAGGCAAGATTATCCTACAGTAATAAACAATTCCAAAATCTCAGTGCTTACAACAATAATGGTTTATTTCTCACTAATACTGTGTCCACGGTGGGCTGTCTAAAGAATTAACTCCAGGAGCCAGGGATTTAGCTCAGTGGTTTCGTCGCCTGCTGTGCTAGCTCAAAGACCCGAGTTCGATCCCCAGTACCACAAAAAAAAAAAAAACTCCTACACTGTAAAGAATTAACTTCAAAATATCACACAGACATTTATGCTAACAGAGATTCCACCATCTGGAGCCAAGAACATACAAAATAG